GAAACGCAGTACATGAGGCCCATGAGGCTGGGTTATCTGGGGTGCACGTAGAGGGAACAACAAGGTTGCAGGGGCCTTTGGAGGACCACCAGCTACCAAAGCTGAGCCCTGTGATTTCCAAGGCAGCTGCTCCTCCTTGCATTGAAATCACAGCTAGATCTGCTGAGAGACCCTGCAGGAAGCCCACTGGCTTCACTGAGACACGTATGGAATATCTCTGTGCRCAGCTTGGCTTCATTTCTGATACCACACTTAATCTTTAACTGCTGGTCAGTCACTCTCGTTAATGAGCACACGGAGGAAGACGGAAGACACCCATGTGAGGAGATTAGGGTGCTCTGYAGATCTGCACCCCAAGGCTGAGCTCCCAGGAAGAGTTTCTGATGTCAGAGCACTGCAACCTTTCCCAAATGGATCAGTTTCTTAGCTTTCCACACCTTCCCACAACATTTTTGGAGCACTCTGTCACTCATGATTGCAACCTAGCAGTGAATTTAATGTTAGTATAATAGGACTAACTACCAGAGACACCCTAAAGAGGTGGAGAGAAGGCACAATCGTTTAAGCCTTGGCTCCCGAGGCATCAGGCCAAAGTTGATTATTATTGCAAAAATGAGTATTACTCCAGAATAATTTATGGTGGTCAAGTGCGAAGTTTGGAAAATATCAACCCCAACGTGCAACTTCGGAGAAAAGTGTGATCAGATAGAGATGCCTTCCCACAATAAAATGGTACAAGCTTAGCTTTAGCTGTCACAAAAGCAATAAATGAAAACACTGAAAAACGGGATTATTAAAATCTCCTTCCTCTAGCTGCAAGGATTTCTTCATTTTTCATTGAGAATCTGATTTTACAACATAAACTGATCAGGAGCCTTTGCTTTGCACATAACAAGAAAGGCTGTKGACTGCTACAGTGGCTCTATTTAGTCAGCTGATGACCTTCTGTCACATGTGAAGTGTAGCAAAAATTTCTTCCCAAAAAGGGAATTAAGCATTAAGCAGAGTCCCCTCAAAACCCTAAATGTATCTGGTTGCTCAAAATGAGATTGTGCCATCTTAGTTTGCTTTCTTGGCAAAGAAATCAAGTTCATTCTTCAAATCCTTGTTTTTTTTTCTCTATGAGAAGTGATTAACAATTCCTGTGTTCGCACTGGGCAGATGGAAGGGTGATAGGAGTGAGAACATGCCAGCTCAGTCGCAATCTAGACATGCAGGTACCCATGGGGTGATCACACCCTGTCATCTGACAGGCCTTCAGGTAGCAGAGATGCATATCTCTTGGATGACTTTAATACCTGGGAACTAAAGCTGTGAAGTACTGAACACCTCCTACTCACTTCTTCGTAAGAGTAAGCCCTAAATCTCCCTGAGTGTGTGCTTCTTTGCTAGTGGCATATTTAAGMTAAATTTTAAATTATTTCTCTTTTATAATTCAGTTCAGTTCTTTTTAACAGTGGAACTATTGTATGTTCAGTATTACCRTGTAAAACCTATGAAATTGAGGTTTGGTGATGATCGACTAGTTTCATACAAGTCTTAATTTCCAAACGTCACTCAAGAAGTCAGCTAATCCTGGGCAATAAAGTCCTGCTCTGATAAGTCAGCTCTGTTTTCAGATGGTCCCAACAAGTCTTGACTCCTAAAGCATTTCACTTGTTTTTCAGTCTTCTCTCCATTCCTTTTACAACTCTGWTTTTCTTAGCTCCCTCTCCCTACTTTATGGCTTACTCTTCTTTTCTCTTGCTCATGCTGCTGGCTGCAGGCACAGGATAAACAGATCCAAACATTTTCTGCTTCGAGCCTTCTGGAATGTTTAGTCTAAGGCCTGAGAGCCGAGGAGGAAGAATGCGAGCGAGCAGATCTTCACAGCAAAGCCACCTTTTAGTGATTACCCCAGTCATGGTGGTTTTGGATTCCTCTAACCACAGGTCTGATCCTCAGTGCCCCTGAAGTCTATTTACAACATGCTTAATAATTTCCACCAGCTGGCCTTTATTGAGAGTGTCATTCAATATTTATGTAACATTTTCATGTATCAAGTAACATGGCAAAAAAGCTCTGTCTTAACCGACCTTATTGTTTTTAAGCTGATAATGTTTTGTTTTTCATTACCAGACATTTATTGTCATCAGTTTTTCCCTGGAGGTTCTCAAAAACCCTGTTGGGAAGGAGYGTTCAAACCCCCTTCCTCCCAGAAAACTTTGGGTCTGGCCCACAGTGCTGAAACTCCGTGTTTGAAGGTCACTTTTCACTCCTGGGATCAGCAGCATGGAACCAAAGGAGTGCAGGTAGAACGAATGTCCCACATGGTTCAAAAAATACTTGTGAATGGTTTCTAAACCTGACATTTCAACTGCGAAGGCAGCTGATTTTATAACAACAACAAAAAAAAGCAACAATCACATGAGGATACTGCCATCACATGATTTTTTTTTTTTTTTTTTGCATAGTCAGTCACAGCTTTGGCACTGACTTTGATTTATGCTCCTTCTCCTTTCTGCCAGATAATGAGGGCTTAGTTTAAACAAGCCTGGTGTCCTACGGCTATTGCCTTAGCCCTCTGCCTGGCTGCTAGCAGAGGGGAAGGAGTGAGGCTGGCTGCAGAGCAGGGTGCTGGAGCACGGAGGATGCACAGGCAGGAGGCACCTTTCACACAGGCAGGAGGCACCCCTCGTCTGCTGGGGGATAATGGAGCTGCTGGGGGAAAGGACCGTGCTGCAGCTCCCCGAGCTCTCCTGCCCTGCCTGTGTCTCCTCACGCGGAGGCCAGGCCGTTTCTCACCGTTTCTGAACGGCCTCYTCAGTGCCGGGAGTCAGGGGAGACCCGAGCGCAGCGAAGGCAGACGGAGTTTGCTTTGCACCTACCACCAGGTCTCAAAGAAAACTGGACATGAGAGCCTGGGTTACTGATGAAAATGCTGGCTGGGATCCTCGGTGTCGGGAAAAGAATAGGAATCAGGAGAAAATAATAAAAAACAAAACAAACAAAAAAAAAACCCAAACCAAATAATAAAAATAATAAATACTCATAGTTACAAAATATCCTCCCATTAGAAAATCTTTTAATTTTGCTGACAGTGCCTTGGGCTTACAGACTTCCACCTGCCCTGCCCCAAATGCAAGTGGTTTGGTGTTGCCTGGCTTGCTTGCTCTGTCTCAACAGTGTCTCACTTCTGCCAGTGCTGTCCTTTGGGATCAGTGACCTCAGTCCTTTCAATTGCTGTCTTGAAGACCCAGAGGGCATTACATTCAAAGGTCCAGGCTATTTCTCACATTACAGCTCTACTTTGGTAGGACTTTGGTCTTCCCTCAGAAGTATTCACCATGCTTTGGTCAAGTTTGTTTTTCTGGTCTTTGTTCAGGTCACCCCTTCACCACTTTTAGCTGGACTCCTGCAATTCAGCTCAGAGACCTCTCCCAAACCTGGGCAGTCCTTACCTATGTTATCTTGTCAGCAGTTCCACCAGCATAATTTGGTTCAATAGGTTTTTCTCAGGAGCTTTCGTATTTGCTTCTATGTTGTGTTTCAGCAAAGCTTGTGCTTTTGCTGCAAAAAAAAGGGCTTCCAGGGCTGCAGAGACACAGCAGCTGCATTGCCTAAGGAAGATCCCTTGTGGAAGCTCTCTGGGTTGGTGAAGGATGTTGAATCTAACCTTGAACTGCCAAGTGCAGTGGTTGCCTGGGTTCCATTTTCCGYCAACTTCGTCTGTTTTTCTGTTATCTCTATACATCATGGACTACAATGAAGYATTTGCTTGTTCGTTGATCACGGCAACTCATGAGTTAAATACAGACAGGACATCACTACACAGAGCCTGTGACCACCCTTATAACTGTGGGCAGCATCTAACTTCACCTTAAAGTGGGCCTGCAACAACCTCCAATCTCAGTTACAGCCTCTGTGTGTCTGTGTCATGCACTGAACTCTCACTAAGAGCAGCACTGCCATAAAGGAGATTTGCAAACGTCCTGCAGGTTGATGTTGCTGTCTTCCCAGTGTCACACGGTGTTGCAAGGAGACCTTGCATCATGATGTCATATCAYACAACTGCAGTAGGGTAGATGTGTGTGCTCTTCTGCACAAACTTTTAAAGAACATTTTCCTTAAGAATCAACTCTAATCGGGAGCCAACTGCAAGGATGTGTTAGAATTAGCCCATCTTTACTTAGTTTGTAGCTGTTGCCCAGCATTTTAAATATTGACAGATTTCCCTCAAGATTCTCCTCTCCAGACTAAACAGTCCCAACTCTCAACCTCTCCTCATGAGACAGGTACTCCCTCTCTATGGCTCTTTGCTGGACTCACTCCAGTAGCACCATCCCTCTCTCGCACTGGAGGGCCCAGACTTGGACTCAGCACTCTGACTGGCCTCACCAGGGCTGAGCAGAGGGCATCACCTCCCTCAGCTGTCTAGAGATGCCTAATGCAGCCCAGGGTACCACCGGACTCATAGTCAGCCTGTTGTCCGCCGTGCCCCCTGGTCCTTCTCTGCAGAGCTGCTCTCCAGTCCATCATTCCCAGCATGGACTGTTGCATGGATCCATTGCTCTCCAGGGGCAGGACCTTGCATTGCCCATGAGGTTCCTCATGGTTTCTCCAGTATGTGGAGGTCGCTCTGAAAGGCAGCTCAGCTTTCTGGTTTATCAGCCACTCCTCCCAGTTTTATACCATCTGCAAACTTGCTGAGGGTGCAGTCAGTCCCATGATCCAGGTCATTAAGAATATTTTAATGAAGTGGTGCTGGGTGAATCAAATGCTGTTGAAGTAACAGTTGCAAATCAGTCTGAGGTGAGAGTTAATTTGGATTTCTGGAAAGAAATGGCTTTAATTTAAAAACAAATAAGAGCAAAAATTGATCGCAGTGCAAAACTAGTATTAAAATCCCTTCAAGGTAAATGGTGTGGCTCTAAACAGGTCTCTCAGAAATCCCAGGGAATGCTGAAAGCAAGGGAGGTGAGTCATAAGCACATGAGCTGAAAGAAGCTGAAGACAAAATCATGCATCTCTGCTTAATTCCATCACATGATGACTCCTGGAGCCCTTCATTTAATCGGAGAGCAGAGCAGCAGAGAAACTTTATTCTCACTTCTCGGCAGAGCCTGAAGGAGTTACTGCGTGGAGGAACTGGGCGCACTCCACTCCTCTGCACGGGCTGAGCGGCCGCACGCTCTCTCACACCATGAGCACGGTTTGGCACCACCTCGGACTCCTGCTGCTGGCTCAAGCTCTGCTGGCTCTGGGCACTGCTGCCATACGTGAGTGCTTTGTCCTTTCCTTTACCCTGCAGCTGCAAATTCAACATCCTGAGATGTAAAACCTTTTTTTGCTACTGCGAAGTTTAGCAGTTGCTGTAGGTAGGCTTGGGAACTGGTAGGTGGCAGGAAGCTGCTGCATCTCGAGGTTACCTGGGTCTGGGTAGAAATGTCAGAAATTTGCTCAGCTAAGCCTGGACTAAAGAAGCCAGATTAGATGGGTTAAAGGCGTTGCTCCCAGCTGGGACACCCGTGCCTTTGGATTCCAAATCTCAAAGAGTCCAGTCAAGGAATTAGACCCTCAGGCTGCGTTAGATAGGCACAGAGCTGGTCCTCATCTTCCAAGACTCTCCGCTTGACACAGTCTAGGTTGACTCTCTGACCTCAGAGTTAGGTACCAAGATTTGGGGACTTAAGAAGGAACTGAAAACCTTATAAGCTGAGGTCAGCCTTGTACCTGTCACCAATGGRGAATAGTAATGAATGTAAAACTGCACAAGCTCACAGCAGCATTTACCCAGAATTTTAACTGTACCTTACATACATAGTAATTAGTAGTTTTATGTTTTTGCAAGTTGTTCCTTGAAGTCTCTTTTTTTCTGCTTTATTATGTTTTTACACTGAACTTCTCAGAGTTTACACTTTTCTTAGAATGTAAAGAATGTAAAGAATTAAAGAATGTAAAACTTACCTCAGCTTAGCTGAATATATGTGACTTCTTATATGTGATAKCATAGTTTCATCCTTTTTATTTCTAATATCTTCTTCTTTGTTATGTCTTTTTTATTGCTGCTCTAATATCTTTCTCTCTCATGGCTAATGGTAGCCATGTGTGGCTAGAAATGCTGAACTTCCTTTCTGTTCCTTTTTCACCAAAAACAAAAMCAGATGAGAAAGAAAAAGATCAATCTAGGAATAAGATATTTTCCCCTATGATTACCTCACCAAAACTATTACAATAACCATTTCCCCAGGTTCTATTATTATTCTGCTCTGAACCAAATTGCCCCAATTTTGGTTATGACCAATATCTGTTCTTGAATATTTTCAATTGTTAAAGAAGTCTTTTATTCCTTTAAATTCAGCAAMTGAAAACCTTCAGTTCATGTGCTAGAGAAGCTGGAGCTGAAATATTTTATTGACTGAAAAAAAATGCCTTTGTCTTTCCTGAATCTTGTGAAATGTTTTATATTTGATTGAGACAAGCAAAGCACACCAGAGAGGAAGACAAACGCCTTAGGAACTTATGATTTAGAAGCAATGACCACAGTTATTACCTAAGTTGGACAAGAAAATGACTTTTGAATTCAAAGATTGTTACTCCAGATTTTAAGCTTTTAAAAAATAAAGTGTTTTCCAGTTCTTTTTGATGCGTGTTTGCAGAGTGGAGGATACATTGACTGAATCCATTGTTTTGATCTCACAAAGTCAAAATATTTTCATTCATTAAACCATCTTAAAGTAAAATCAAAGATAATGGTAAAACTAGGGAAAAAAATTCAAAAGTTTTAAGAAGATTGCATATTAATTGCTTGATATAAACTGTAATCAAACTTGATAAGCTTTTGTGAAATATTTTTATAATCTCTAATCTGTTTTTCTTTTCTGGGAAATATTTTGGAAGGCCAGCATTACCCAATTCTACTTAAGACCAAGACTGCAAATGATAGAATATGTGACATACACGATGTCCATTGTAATGTTGTGCTTTTCTCACACCAGTGTAGTACATCTTCAGGAAAGGCTTGATTTTAATTGTTTTAAGTTAGAGTGTGAGAAGTATCTCTAGGGCCACAAAACATGGTAAAAAGAATGTATTTCCAATTGTAAAATCTGTTCAGACCATCAAGCCCCAAGATACTTGAGAGAGGACTTACAGCTTCAGTTTGGCCGGATCATGAGAGATGGGCATTGGCCTGTCTGAAGGCATGTCCTTTCTGGCAGCTCAAACCAGCTATACTTGCTACTTACTTTTCTCCAAAATCTGGAAAAATTCCAACATAGCTGGTAATCTAACACCACCCAGGGACATTCCTGCCTTTCTTACAGAATTYTACATTTTCCCTGAAATCATCTAGCAATGGTTGCACTTGTATCCACACCACAGAAGTGTCCAACACCAGGTGACTTTAAAATAAAGGCAAGAAAAGCAGAAGAAACCCCAACTCCCTTGATGTGATGGCACACCCAGTGGTTACCTGATTAACATCACAGAGCTGTTTCAAGCCTCCAGGCTTTAATGGAGCTCTGCCCAGGAGCTTACTTACAAACATATTTCTATGGCAGCCTACAATGTTAAACATGTTCCCACAGGTTACCTGGTTATTTATTTTGCTTCTCATAACGCATCTGCTTTGTTACAGAAGCCTTTCAAATGCCTGGGAAAAACATGAGTCCATCCCTTGTGCTAAAATGAGAAGAAGTTATTAAAATTATTTAATCTGAACCATTTTAAAGTAATAGACATGAAGCTAGTGTCTTTGTTGTTATGTTAATTTAATGTTGTTATATTAAATCTATGATTCAACTCTACGTTTCCTTTTCTGGAAATACCAGTTAAAATTGGCTCAACCACTCCCATTCAAACCACCAACCAAKTCATACACGAAGCTTCAGTGGGTCAAAACTCACTCCTAGCACAGCTTCCACTAAAGTGCAACTGAGACCCAGAGTGAACTTCGTCTACTGAGCTTTCAATCATAGATTACCACTCAGGCACTAAAGACTTAGCAAGGAAGCAACCTCTTTACAACCACAGACTACAATGGACATGGTTATGTCCATTCCATAAGAACACTTGTTCTGACATGGTAAAAATCTTGTAAAAGCTATTGTTTCTCTGGAAAGATTGGAATAGAGCAACTGCAAATCATTGACAGAATTGTATTTACTTTAGCTTTGGTGGTTTAAGTGTCTATAGTTGTAAAGATAAAGTTCAATAACTTCGCACTGCTGAAGAGTTTTCTAATTAGTACAAGAAAAGAAACATAAGTAGATTCTTCAGCACAATTATCTCCTGACAGAGTAGCAGGGAATATTTTARGGCATTATATGTTCTTTCCTTTTCTATCTAGGGTTCCAAGATGTGCTGAGCCAGGAACAAACTTCTGCAGCCACATCCTATAGGAAGATACAAGGCTGGTCCAGTGATCAAAATGAATGGAATGAAAACCTTTATCCTTTCTGGAAAGAAGGAGATCCCAGGTGGAAGGACTGCTGGAAAGGTAGTTGCACACACAGAGTTCAAAAAGATTTTTGAATTAAAATAAAGGAAAAGAAAAAAGAAGTCCACCCTTATGAAAGGGTGTAGGAGCTGTAATTCTATTTCCTACATGCTGTTGCATACAATAATAAATTTGAGACCATTGGCTTGGTTAGTGCTATTAGTAGATTGCTTGAGGAAGCGTACAAGTGAGTTGTGACAACATCAGAAATTCCTACAGGTTAAGAGGTATTGAGGGGCTGTGAAGGTCTGTGAAGGCCCAGTTTATCATCACCCTTGTCTGACCTGAGGTCTAAAGACTACATCCCCAGAGAGAAATCAAAGTGTTCTCCTTTGGAACATATTGACCCAATAGATAAAAATCYGATTCTCAGCCTTAAGAAGGAAATAAATCAGGGATCAGTGAGTGATTTTGGCAGAGATGATAAATCCCTCTGCTTCTTGTAAACTGGGATTTCAATATGGGTGCAAGCAGCTTTCGGAGCACAAAYACCATTGGAAATAAGAGAGATGTCAATAAAGGATTTCAAACGTGAATAGTGCACAGCTGAAGGTAACTGCTGCTCCGTGTGTCCTTTACTGCAGTGAAGTCTCAGTTGTATTTTCTGCAGGAGGAAGGGTGAGAGCCAAGCTGGTCACTGACAGCCCAGCACTGGTAGGATCCAACGTGACTTTCGTAGTGACTCTCCAGTTTCCCAAGTGCCAGAGAGAAGATAACGATGGCAACATAATATATGAGAGAAACTGTACCCAGGGTAGGTATGGGGGTCTCCATCTGCCACCCATGTGTCTCAACGTTGTTCCGGTGGGAGTGCCATAGATCTTTGAAATCTTCAGAAGCACAACCTGCAATCCTAAGTTTTGTTGCTTTAACTGATACCTACACTAGTGTCTAGCCTCTGTCTTGCCATTTTTCTTCTTCAGAATACCACTGTATTATTTTTACACTTCTGTACCTGTTATATATAATGGACAAGTACTTTAAGGAGATTTGTTTTCACTATAAAATCATTTTTCCAGAGTAATGACTTTAATTTGGCTTCCTATAAATACCTTTATTGCTCGTCAGCCCACTCACAAGGTTGCCTAATCGAACCCTCAAGGGAGAGTAAATTTCACATTCCCCTATTTCAAGAACAAAAAGTAACTAGGAAAACTTTATCATTTAAAAACAGGTAGTCTTTTCACCAGAGCATTAGCTTTTTTTGATTGTCATTAAGAGCTACAAAGAGCAAAAACATCACAATTTGTTTTTTTGAAGTTACTAGTTCTTGAGTGAAACAGACTGTTGTGCTGATCTTCCCCAGAACTCATAAACGTTCAGCAAATGTTTCAACTGATCAAAGTAATTTTCATTTCAAAGATGGATTTTTTCTTCAGCACATGTTCTGCTTCTTCCACTGTCTCATGTCTCATTAACTGCTGATATCCATTCTCTACTTAAAAGTTCGTTTCACTGTTTGGGGAGAGACTGTCTTTTTATTATTCAGGATGGTGCTGTAGTTGATGTAACAGTGCCATAGAAATATTTTCTGGCAAAACAAATTGCTTCCACTGCTTGCACAGCTGTTCTTATAWTTAAATATTTAATTTTGCTTGCTGAATATCAGGGCAGCTGCACTGGCTCCAGTGAAATAGCACCCTCTGTAGTTCACAGCAGGTTTGGGGCAAGCGACTTTAAACTATGCCTTAAAAAAGCAAACAAAACATCTCAGAAGAATTAATTGTCAGTCTAAAAATAAAAAATAGCCCACTTACCCCATTGCTCGTGTTGCTGTGACCTGGGATGTCTGCATGCTCTTTCCTGGTTTACCATGCACTTCACAACYGACCAGGAACATGTCCTATTTCTAAACTTAGATCCTCCAGCCCTGCAGGATCAGTATGTCTACAACTGGACGAAGTGGATCGACAACTGTGGCTGGGGAAACTGTACAGGCAACCATAGCCATAATGTATTCCCAGATGGGAGACCTTTCCCTCACCATGCTGACTGGAGGAGGAGGAACTTTGTCTACCTGTTTCATACATTTGGTTAGTACTGCAAAACATATTTTGGTTTGGTTGCTGCTGCAAAACTTACTTTCTGTTTGCATATTAGCTTATTTTTCTAATATCTTGCATTTAAAGTTCTTAAAAGGTAGTCCATAATTCCTGAATGAGAATCCCGAATCCATTCAGTGCTTCTCAGAGAAGATATCAGCTGCTCTCTTATCTTCTGCCAGATTTTAAAATCATTTATCACCAGGAGATTTTCCTGAAGGCTAAGCATACGGAGAACTAAAACCATAGAAAATTAGTTTCCTTTCAGTAATATGCAAGATAGCTTTCTAGGAAAACAGAAGGCCTGAGCAGGTCAGCCAGAGGATTTGTTGACCAGTTGCTACTACTTCGGATTCATGAACTTAAGAGAGACCACCGAGCTGTATATCCATAGATCGGACTAATGGTATAGCACTTCTTGGCTCTGCAAATTGTCAGTGACTGTGTGGTTCTGTTCTAGTCACAGATGGGGACAACACATTCTGTGCAAGCCCAACCATCGCACAGAATGCAATGGTTGGGCTATTTCAAACACTGGSTACATACTAACTCTTAATATCCTAATTTAGCTTCACAATATCAATATAAGCATCAGAGATAATAACAGAAATGCTTTCAATTTTAAATAAAGTTGCTAATATTTACCTACCCCAATCAGCTGTTACAAATATAAATAAGTAAATGTATACAAAGAGTTCTGGTAAACAAAGCAAGAAGTATTATACCCTCTTGCTACCTGAAGATATACAGTTAATTTAAAATGCCTAAGAGGTAACATTGTTCACTACATAATACTGATAATATAATGAAATTCCTTTGGAGAGATGTGGATGCCTTGTGAATGGCTTTTCTTAGATCGATGAAATTTGGAAGATCTTTCTGACATCTTTCAAAAAAAATCACATGTATAATGGGAGTAAACGTGTTGTATCAGTATTTAGTGCTCCATAAGAACCTGTTTTCCAGATAATTGATGATTTTGAACTTGTATTAYGGTTTATACAATCACAAATCCATGGAGACTTTGGTTATCTTGAACAGTTTACTGTAACTAGCCTTAAGGGGTAAAACATTTTATAAGTGTATGTTCTGTTTCAGGTCAGTACTACGAAAAAAAAGGCCGCTTTTCAACAATAATTTCACTCAACACAGCAAATATCACTCTTGGCAAACACGTGATGGAGGTTTCCATTTACAGGAGAGGRCACTCAACTTATGTTCCAATTGCAAGAGCAAGTAGCATTTATGTTGTAACAGGTGAGTGTCCTGAAATAAACTGCAATAAAATCCTGGAGATATTTGTGGTGTAGGTGTTACAAGAATTCAACATGAGCAATATCTGGGATGAAAGGAAGGCATTGGCCCAAGACAAGTTTTAATATGGATGTGAAATCTCTGGCAAATTGCCTCAAATAACACAATTTACCTTTGCATCTACCTCCATATTAACACCTCTACTTTGTGATGAAAATTGAATTACTAGAGGAAATGTCATCTTCAACAGGTGCTTTTCATTCCTTATATGTTCCCATACTTCTCTGTGTAACTGTTTCCTATTGACATCACTCACTAAACTGAATTAAAGTAGAAAGCCACGTTAAAGATATTGTCTTACATTCTGACTATTCAGGAAGTTTGGAGGTGTTTGCAGACAGATATACTTGTTTCAGTTGTTTTCTTCCTTTTTTTTTTTTCTTGCAGACAAAATTCCGTTATTTGTGAACATGTCCCAGAAAAATGACCGCAACATCTCAGACTCTATCTTTATCAAAGACTCACCAATCACATTCGACGTGAAGATCCACGACCCCAGCCACTATCTTAACAATTCCGTCATCTCCTACAAGTGGGACTTTGGAGATGGAAGCGGCTTATTTGTAGCAAGCGGCTCCATTACACCTCACACTTACACTCTACAAGGAAACTTCACTCTGAATTTAACTGTCCAGGCTATCATACCTGTACCTTGCAAGCCAGTAACACCCACTGCAGCACTGCCCACCTCAGCAGGTAAGAGTTCATCTGTCTGATCAGTACTAATGATAAAGAAAACTTAGAATTTTAAGTATATATCTTTAGAAGTTGTATGCCACCAAAGTAAGACCCCCAAAAACTCTGCAAACCCGTCTATGAACACAGTCTCAAGTCAGAATCAATAAACACACGGGCATCAGTTACACGTTTAGAACCCGAGCCTCATTTACGGTACATCGGCTGCTACCACAACAATACCTATCACAATGTGAGGACATTAGGTGGACACATTCCTTTTTAGACCCTTTGGCATCTAAAATCAACAGGTTTTAATCTTGCCTATTTAGGGACATTTCCAGAGGTAAGATTTAAATTTAAACTGACAAATAGGTATCTCATAGTTGCCTGCAATCTGCATCAACACTCTTAGAGCTGCTTCCTTCCTCGTCTTTTCTAACCTCCATCCAAAATTTAATGAAGTTGGATTGAACTTGGAAAAAAAAATCCCAAAATAGGGGATTTTCACATGGCATGAACCCAAAATTCCTTTTCTGCTTTAAATTTGCGTGCTATTATGTTTCAGAATAATTTGCATTATGTTCAGCACTGGCTTATCATCTCAAAGAATTTTATGTTTTGCCAAAGACTGCAGCTTCAGCCTGTGTAGTTATATTACTACTACTACTACTACTACTATTACATTGAAAATACGTCTAATTTTAATATATGCTTTTAGCAATTTTAAATGAGAAAGAAAAAGGAAAGATATAATACCCATCCATCCATCCCCTCCATCACCTTCCATCACCTCTTAATTTTTCAACTAACACTAATGTGGAGCAATAGAAGAACACAATTTTTTAAAGAGAGAATTTTAAAGCTTTTATTGGCATTTGGATTTATTCTATAATTGATCTGGGAATTTGATTTAAAGTTTTTAATTATACCAAAACTTGTAGATTCACTTATTTCTTAGAGACAAGTGACTAGTACAGTGACTTCTGGAGTTAAGCTATGGAGGCAAACAGTTCTGACATCCCAGCCTTACAGAAAAGCAGGGCACATACGTCTTCTTTAAGCTTCTACCACGATCACAGAGTCACAGAATCACAGAATGGTTGAGGTTGGAAGGGACCTCTAGAGATCATCTGGTCCAGTCCCTGATCCTATATGAATAAGTGCATTACTGCATAGCTGTAGAGCAGAACAACTAATAGCAAATGCAATKAATGGAGTTGAAAGACACGGCCATGTTCAGAATTCCCTAAGCAGAACTAGTTCTAGTCTGTGTATCTATTTTTTCCTACCTAAAACAACAGTAACCATTGAACCATCTTCTAACCCAGACTCCTCCTTTGCTGTCGAGACAACGGAAGACAATCCGGATGAAGGCTGCCATATTTACAGATATGGATATTACAGAACTGATATCTCTGTTGTAGGTAAGGAACCTAAGTCAGTATCTCAAGAGAAGAGTGGAGCCAATAACATTATACATGTACGGCTGAGAAAATATTTAGCTTCTCTTTTATCTAAKATGTGACCTTCAATTGGATCCTTCTCTCTCAGTTGTAGCTTTTCTAGATCTAGACATTTCTAAAGGTTGAAGCACAGCTACGACACACGCTCCCAGGACCCAGCAGCAGAGCTTATGGTGCCTTGGTTCCAGACATGTGGGTCTCTGGGCTGCTGCCAGTGGCTGCCCCCGTGCTCAGATGTTTCTGGTCATTTTCACTGGGCAATATCCGACAAAATGTGGGCTGTATCATTCTTTTCTATACCCTTAGCTTCAGAAACTGGCACACYTGAGACATACTGGCCTTGAGAGGTTGCGTAAGGTTGAGCTGACCTTAGTATGCACAGGGGTCCTGRTTAGCAGGAGGCAGAGGTAATTGGATGGAGGCAGATGAGGAGAGAACAGCCTCATGAGAAATGCACTGGAAGCCTCCTGCTTTGAACCCTTCAACAAGAGTGCTAAGGGAGAAAGAAGGTTACAGAAAACAAAACCTGAGCTGTGCATCAGCTTGTGCAACAAGTGCATCAACTTGTACAGAAACACTTGAGAGCTTATCGTATGTCCTACCCTTGACATCTGTTTCCTCTTCCAGAGGGAATCCTTGAGGTAAATATCATCCAGATGACAAACATCCAGATGACAGAAAGTCAAGCTGAAAACCCYCTCGTTGACTTTGTTGTTACCTGCCAAGGGAGGTAAGTATATAAATGAAACTGCTAATTGCTTTAAAACTGCAGATGCAGCTGCATGAATAAGAGCTGGGACCAGAGGCATTTCATTTCTTTTCTGAAACCRAAGATAGTGAAAGTCTCACTTGTAAACTACATCAGCAGAGGTTGCTGCAAAGCTCTTAGGATTCAGAACAAATGTCATGCCTAAGAAAAATAAGAGAGCTAGATAAATAGGTAGAATCAATTTATATTTTGTAAAGACGGGATTTCAGGAAATAGGAAGCAGTCGGCTGAAATTGGAAGAAAAATCCTTCCTTCTAGCCATGATTTTTGATATTTCAGGTAAATAAAATATTTCAGGGTGTGTCCAAGCAATTCCTTAGGCAGGAAAATATTGCATTAAAATTCCTACCTCCTAGAATGGGATTTAAGAGGACTGAGAGGTACAATTATTCTGATAATGAATCTGGAAAATCATGAATCCTTCTAAAACCAGCATAACAATTTGCTGCACATAATACTGCACCTAAGAATCTGTATTCCTTCAATGGCAACAAATTTTAAAGGCAACAGGCTTTATAAACAGTTTTAGGTGGCATTACCACCATGAAGGGTTAAATTCTAAATGAAACAGGATTATGGAAGTGTTTATCATACAAACCGGGCAAACGGGACTCCACGCATACAGTRTACTCTCTCTTCCCAACCCAGTCTTCCCACAGATGTGTGCACAGTAGTTTCCGACCCCACGTGCCGGGTGTCTCGGAGCGTGGTGTGCGACCCCATCGTCACTGACAAATGCCACCTCACCGTACGGAGGGCTTTCGACGAGCCTGGCACGTACTGTGTAAACATCACCTTGGGAGACGACACAAGTCAAGCCCTCGCAAGCGCGCTCATATCTGTGAACGGAGGTGAGTCTGCCCCGAGCAGGGGTGCGTGGTCTCCTGTGATCACCTCCCTGGGGATGGAGGAGCTCACAGAACATCCATGTGGGTTCAGGGGTGCTTACAGGCCTCAGCTGAGGCCACCAGGCTTCATGAGCCCTCACAAAAACAACAGATGATCCTTCCCCGATGGGAATTTCTGATRTCAGAACTCGGTTTGGTTTATGTGTATGACCTAGTGAGTACGGTAATTATACAAACCCTTCCGTATCAAASAACACAAACAGTAGTTCAGCTGTAATGTATTTTTCCACAGAACAACTCTGGCACAAAGGTAGGTGGGGAACTGCCAGCCTGCCCACTTCACACACACAGAGCTCAAATACAGAGAACCTGAGAGAGGAATTRGGCTCACCAGAGACAGAATCGAAGCCTACAGCTGAGTTGTCTGTCTTGGGCCCTCTTTTTAACCCACTGATCTTGAACTGGTCTCTACTGCATCAGTGTAAGGTAGAATCACCTTCTGGAAAGGCCTGTACCTTGAACACTGACTGCCAAGAGTGCATGGAGTTACTGCTTTAGGTTAGTTGAATGGTTAGAACAGAAAGSTCTACCTCTGGTGAGATGATTCTCACCGCATCTTGCCCATGACTATCCAAGCAGCCCTCAACAGACCCAGCTGTTCCCCAGATTCAGAGAGAGGCCCAGCCCATCTCCATGCCTCTCCATGTCCTCCCACTCAAGYACCCTGGTGAATCTACTGGGTTTTCAATTAGCATCACCAAGGAACTGACCCTCTGTAGCCATTTGYTGCATCATTTTCAGGTGATTTTATTTAATCTAGATATAAACTTGGCTACACCTAAATCAGTCCATCACAACTAAGACACTTCCAATCTTCATGTGTGAATTAGAACCTGAGAGGTCGCTGGTATGAATTCCACTGAAACATTTGTAGATATCTCCCTTGTATCATTATTCTCCATTCAAGGGAAAGCAATAATCTAAGATTTTCTGAAAATAACATAATTTGGTGCCTGAGTATACAGTCGGTGCCTCGGTTATGTGGGTACTGCACAAAACATCAACTCCTAACTCATCTAAACTGCCGTTGAAGGGGYTGTAGCCCTATGATTCATATTTGTTGCACAGACGTGGTGTTTTGCAGACTAGTTCAAAGGCCTACACGATTCATAAAATAATGTAAACCCTTAYAGTATCAACAAAAATACAGGGTAAACTAGGACTGATGTCAAACTTTTACCAAAAAATAAAGCAACAAGCTGAAGAATGCATGAGGCACACATCCCAAGTAAATGGTAAACCCAAAGGTGGTATCTTTATATTAATATATAGCAACTATAAATTAATACACTGGATAGGTAAATCAACATGCATTTCTAGGTTAGTTCATTGTATACATACAATTAACGTGAGCACCAAGGATGTGTGTCAGTGTCAATTAACATCAGTAAATGACAGCCTGTGAACTGGAAAATTAAGGTTTAACATAAATCAAGAAAACACTTGTATTGATGTGGCCTCTTTTTCCCTCAGATTCAATGGGATTAGGAGTAAAGCTGAGTGCAGTGGTCCCTGACACACCAGCAGGCAGATTTCAATGACACGCAGAGTCCAGAGTTGATTTTATCCCCATGAGAATTTTACCAAAGCAGAGGCAAAATCAGGCAAACAACACCCAGCTCCATCAGGCACTTGGCCCCAYGTAACCATGTTTGGCTGTGGACTGAGAGAGCCAGTAACATACTGCAGATTTCTTTTTTTCATCCCTTCTTCCCTAACATCCCTTAGGTAGCAAAATAATGAAAATTCTTACATTATACATTAAAGAGATTATATATGTTATGCACCTCATATAAGTGGTCCTGTAGCATAGCAATTAGGCAAAGAGTGAATTAGCCCCATCTCGTGGGGACCAGCAAGTCCCTCTCTTCCCTTCCCCACTGAAAAGGCAATTGTGGTTTCGGGAGCACGGCTGACATCAAACTGCCAAAGCCCAATCTGCAGGYTGACGGCACTGAGAATTAAACTTAAAAATAATCCATTTCACTGTAAAAATGAAGGTGATCTTCTAATCAAACCTGCTTCCTGAAATCTAGGACCGTCCTCAAGAACAACAGAAGGTGTCTTCATCTTCCTTGGTCTGCTGGCGGTATTTGTTGTCATTGTGGCTGTTGTCCTTTACAAGTAAGTTGCTGTCTAGCAGGATTAATAACAGTTCAGGGAAGTGACAAAAATATTAATTTAAATTAACAAAACCAACAAGCTGAATTTGCTTTAGGTATATTTTTATTTCTGTTGTATTGCTGCTCAGAAATACTCTGGCAAACAGTCACAAAAATAAGTTTACTGCTTTAAGCCATAAAAACATCAAAAATATGCTAACATAAAGGAATTTCATAGAAGATTATATTTTGTGTTCATAAACACAAACAGTAATACTGTAAAGTCTGGGAACTGCAGTAGGTGATTTATGTATCCAGTCAAAGCTAACCAATAAAAATTTAATTTAGCTTTTGAACTCTTACGAGCAGTGTTTGAGTGACAGACCAAGTATTAACCATCAAAGTTCTTCATTAAAAAAATAACAAATAAATTGGGGAAAGGGCATCAAGCATGCAGAAGAAGTAGATAACCAAAGCATTTGTTACTGCAATATTCGTTTTGGAGCTTCTCACCAGGTTTTGAGAGGAACCTGAGGCTCCTGAGTTAAAGGAGTGCTCGCTCCTCAGTCAGTGGTGAGAAAGAAAGAGAGGTTGCTCCTCTACRGAGCAACAGTAAGACCAGAACTAAGCAACAGAGCCTCCTCCTTAACCTAGCCACAACTAATCTGAGGCAGCTGCTGCTCTGTGGGGTTGTATGGGACTGAAGGGGCAGGAGAAGCAAGAACAGGTATCACGAATTCATAACCGATTCTCATGAGTACTGGTTACGTGTTGAGTATGAGCCTTCATTTTACTGTCTTTTGGCAACGAACTAACTACACACGTTCCTTGCAGGAGATACAAACAATACAAACCTATCGAGAGAAGCCCAGGACAAGCAGAGAACCAGGAGGGACACAGCACTTATTTCAGCCATTTCAAAACCATTTTCTTCTCCAAGAGYAATGAGAAAGATCCCCTGCTGAAAAGCAAGCCAGGCATTGTTTAAATCTTTAGTTGAACACTGACTACTAGATTAGGTACAGGACTCACATCTGTACTTTTTTATTCTTATAAAAACAAGGGGCTAAGGTGAAAACATATAGATTTGTTTTATATCTTCTGGGGGCTTGGTGCAATAGAAATTTTCATAAAATAGTCTTTCTTAGGAAAGACTGAGGTAGCTTTGAGTGCCTGTTGAGTGCCTTGCTTGTGATATAGGATACCCTCTACTGTATAAATGAATCTTATCTGTTYTCTCACTTTGCTTATTACTTGCAAAATTAATCAGATTGTTAATCCAGAGGAAAAAAAGAATAGGGWTTTGTTGTTGTTGTTGCTTTTTAATTTGTAGATAACAAATCTTAAGTACATAGTACAGTGCAGTTGTTTACCACATCTCACTGTAATCCAGACCACAGACACCCAAATAACAGACTAACAAGGTCCACCTGCGGGGCTCTGCTGGGCTGAAACTTCTAGTCCTTGTCCCACGTAAAATTCCTGGATGTGACTGCTGGTGGTGGCTTTGCTTCCTGCCGTTTCCACTGCCCTGGAGACACTGGATTGGCACCACCACTCCTCACAGGGAAAATGTGTCTTTTGAGAACAAAAACAGGAGAGCCTCTTACTTGTGCAGGGGAAGAGCTTTATTTATACCTACATACAACTGTTCATCCCATTATCTAAACATAACTGGGTGTCTAAAACAATTATCTGACTTAAACATAAAACACATTTCCCTGCAGAAATTATTACCTGCATTTTATAGCCTAAGTTAGCGGGCAGGCTGAGGATGAGAGGGACTGTATTTTGTATAATACTGATGATAGGAGGGCAGTGTAAATGTTGTGGTGCAGGAATTTAGTCAAAAGCTTAAGAAGACTTTTAATGGAGCATGAGAAWAAAAGTAGATCTACTGCAGCGGTAATGCTTAGGATTCGTGATGATGCAGGCTATCACTAAGCTGTACACAGAAAGCRGCTTCTTTCAGCACGAACACTGACATCTCAGGCTATTGCAGAGAAATTACCTTTCATCCATATTTACATTCATAATTGTTTTTCTCATCCTAAGAATGCAGAATAGCTTGAATTATCTTCCTTTAGATGTCATGTTAGAATAATTACAATTTGATTATGCTTTCTGAGGTGTGACTTCCAGTTCACACATTTTTGGTTTTACAATATGGAATCTGACTGCTGTACTGATAAATAAACTATATAATGGTTTTAAAGAGTCTGTTCCCTTTTTCTTGGAATGACATATAACTAAATGAGCACTCTAATTACTGCTCTGAACAGCATCTACCTCCAGATTAAACACACAGATAATAGTTTCAGTTCCCTTTAGTTCACCTGGTATTTTCTGTTAACCATCTCCCAGTTCCAGCGGCCTCCCCTGAAACGTATGTAGAACAACGGCACCACCAACCCGAGAAGCAAGAACCTSATGGCAGCTGTGGAACCCGACTCCTGAGTGGGATAAATATGAACTTCCCAGCCCTCAAAGGGAATAGCAGCTGGTGCACAGCAGATTTGTGAATGTATGTCAGCAAATGTTACAAGACAGACAGGTTTCAGCCAGCCCCTTTGGGGAAAAAAAAAAAAAAGCACAACATCAAAGAATGTCATCAAGTACAACTGCATATCCTATTTAGAGACAACATCTGTTGAAACACACGACCAAGAGAAACAGAAACGTGAATTTGCTAACCATTCTGCTGACAAACGTCCCACAAAACTTAAGTATTAGTTCAAATACGTAGTTTGTTCTGCTCCTTGCCCTTTTTTGAACATTCACTTTTTCATAGCACAAGTCTCTTCAGATGTCACTAACATTTTTTATTAAAAAAGTGCTTTAAAGTTGTAACTACAGCTGAAACACACCACACTAAACGAACTACGAGGGAATCAAACTGAATGTTGTTTGCAGACAACCATTGTGGTCTGCTAGCATAACTAAACATTCCAGCCTTGCACAGCAGTTGAAATTTGTTTGAAACTACTTTTTTTTTTTTTTTTTTTTAAATCTCTGCTGCTCTTAAAGGGAATAATTGTTAATACTGTGATTGCATCATCCTCAGAATCACTCAGCACAATGAGAGAGGAAAAAGCAGTCAGAATGCTTTTTTTTTACTGTGTAAATTCCACCATTTTCAGAGGAGGTAGTGGTGAAGGGAAGCACATTTTTATTCATAATATGTACAAAGAAATGAACTTCTGTGATTGCTTTTTAATGCCTGAAAATTCTTCATAACAAAACACAGCTAAGACTCTGCAAATTAACTCTATTGGCACATTATGCAAATATGAAATACACCTTCCCAAATCTTGAGCCAAAGGCAGGTTTTTATACAGAAGTATAGCCCTTGAAAGTAGGAATAGGGTTTGATTACATGACTATGACTCTCATGGCACTTTTTTACTGCTATTGGCCTTTCGTATCTGCTCCTTTTCTGGGTTCCGAACAAGGCAGCGTTGCAGAGGGTCGTTATGGGGTGTGGGCTCCTTCCTTCCTGGCGATGTCCTCCCTCCTAGCACAAAACACCCCTCAGGAGACACCGCGGCCAGGGACGCGCCGCAGGGTCACGCAGGCTTCCTATAAACGCTCCCGCCGGGGTTCGGACCGCGAGCGGGGGAGTTCGCACTCCCAACGGCCGCGCCTTACAGAGCGGAGAGCCCCGCAGCGCTCCGACGCCAACCGCCAACGGCCACCAACTGCCACCAACGGCCGCCAACTGCCACCAACGGTCGCACACGCGACGCACCCAGCGCGCATGCGCGGCAACCCGCTCCCCGCGGGCGCTGCGTGACCGCCAGCGGGAGGAGCCAATGGGGGGAGGCCGAGTTGTGCCGCCGCCAATGGCGCGCGGGGAGGGGGGCGGGCGCTGCGGCGGGGCCCGGCCGGGCGGC